TGTCGAAGTCTTATTATAGCGATAGGGCTCTCCATCCCTTCCAGGAGGGGGACCGTCGCCTTCACAACGAACGGCCTCTTAGTGCCATCGTCATCAGATCACGAATGGCTCCACAGCCTCGATGTGATCCTTTATCTCAAGATCAGCTTCCTCAGCGCCGGATGCCCACAGCCTCGGCGTGATCCTTTATTGCACCTTGCATCTATGGCTGCTATAAATAGCTAGCCCCTTCTTCATTGTAAAGGATCCCAGATCCCATGACAGAATAACACAATAACAACTTCTTCACTGAATACATACTCACTCACTCTCTTACTTGTTCTGACTACTCTCTTGATACCCTTCAGCGGTATCCCCCGGATATATCATCCGTCACCCCTAACCTCCAATTTCATATGCGGGGGGGATAATTTAGGCTTTCTTATTTTATATGCAATTTAATTTTTATTCAGTGATTCCGATTTGGTCAGTGTGTAAGAAACCCGAAAGAAGGGGCATTGGAGAAAACTAATTAAAAGAATTTGCAAAGAGATGAATGAAGAAGATACGAGACATGAAACGACGTTGAAAATTTTTTAATTTGGATAAATAACAACTTTATTAATGAATATCGTTCAGCAAAAGATCAGTAATACAATCAGGAGGAAAGTTTAACCAAACACGATCAGACTCAGAAACAGGATTCCTAGCCATAGCATGGGCCACTCGATTCGTTGACTGATTCACAAACTGGACAAATATTTCAGCAAAATCAGCCATCAAACATGTATTACTAGCAAAAATCTCATCGTTATAGGAAAAGGCGCCTATTGAAGAAACACCTTGAACAACTTGTTCTCGGCAGCCGACTCCACTACCACCCGCTGCCATCGCATCCCCGACGGTCGATCACCTCACCGCAGCTTCCATTGCTAAAGCCTGCGTAGTACTTTCCGGAAACATGCCCAACTCCCTTACACATTTCCCAGCCATAAATTCCCCTTCAGAATTACGTGCAACCATGCCTAACCCCCTTCATGGACCTTGAGTGTCTAGAGTAGCATCTATATTGATCTTAACCACTCCATGGCACGGTGGTTTAAAGAGAGCTGCCTTCTTAGTCATTTGTGCCGCCGCCACCCCTTCAAAATAGTCTTACCACATGCCACAACACCCCTCCAATTTATGTTTGTCGCCATATTTTATCATTCCTAGCTTTCCATAAGCTCCAACTCATCATAATGAATCGACAAACTCTTCTGATGAACAGTGCAGACTTACATTATTGGCCCAGTTTACCAACGAAAGCACATCAACATTTGTGTAATACCGGCTTTGACTACGCCATACTCCTTTCGCAATAGGACAATGCCGAAGTACATGCAAAGTATTATCTCTCGTCCTTGCACACACATAACACATTGGCCAAATCGGAACACGTCTTTGAAAAAGACGATCCTTAGTAGGTAAATGGCCCATACAAGCTTGCCAAAAAAACAATTTCACCTTTGGTGGAAGATACAACTTCCTCATACGAACTCAAGATGGGGGTTTGATATATTGTTTCGTTGGAGTCCGATATCAGCTACGTACCGAGGAGTTACCTTTCGTGTCATCTTTACACATTAGCTCATCTCTCTATTGGTGTCCTCTCAGTGGAATACCGAGAATAGCTCACTGATCCTCCTTATTGAAAAGATCTCTTACAATTTCTTGATCCTAATTATCGCCCTCCAGTGTCTTTAAAATGTCAACCGTGATATCCTCCAAACACGAAATCATTCGAGTAGCATGCCTCCCTCCTGACCCTGTTAGCAGTCAATTATTCTTCCATACGCGGATTGAATCTCCTTTGCCCACTCAAGGGATCAGACCCATTCAAACAAGAAGTAATAACAGCAACAATGCTACGCCGAATTAACGAGGGATTACTCCCACATTTAGCTTCTAATATATTACCGTGATTATAATGTTGGGCTCTTAAAACTTGACCTACTAAAGAAGATGGATTTTTAATAAACGCCAAACTTGCTTTCCGAACATAGCTATGTTAAACTCACATAGCTTTCGGACACCCAGCCCCCATTCTTTTAGGAACACAAAGATCGTCCCATCGCGTCCATCGAATGCTCTTGCCTATTGAGACTTGAGCCCTCCACCAATAAGCAATCATGGTACGTTCAATAGTCATACATAACTCAGTCGGAAGCCAAAATACATTCATCGCATATTGTGGCATTTCTTGAATAATAATTTTAAGCAGAACCTCCCTCCCAGCTTTTGAATGAAAGAGATTGTTCCAACTCTGAATGTGTTGAATGATTTTTTCCTTAATATATGTGAATATCTCCTTTTTATTCCTCCCAACAAGGGATGGTAACCCAAAATACTTCCCTCCAAACCTTCCTCACGAACACTAAGGAGACCACTTAAATAATCTCTGTCATCCCATGCAACATTGCCATTAAATTGCACGCTGGATTTTTTGAAATTCACCATCTAACCAAACAATAAAGAATAATGAGTCAAAATATCTTTCACAACCATACACTCATGCTCAGTTGCCCTAAAAAGGTGTATGTCATCAACAAATAAAAGGTGAGATATTGCCAGAGCTCCCCACGCTATGCGGATTCCATGAAGCTGGTAGTCATACTCAAGAGCACAGATTAATGCACTCATGTCTTCCGCTATCAGAATAAATAAGTACGACTATATAGGATCCCCTTGCCATAGTCCTCTAGTTGGCTGGATAGATTCCAAAATATCTCCTCCTACGTGAACATGGTAAGAAACCGTAGTAACACATTGTAAAATAAACTCCACCCACCGTGGATGGAAACCTAACTGAAGCACCACTTTCTAAATAAAATGTCATTCCACCAAGTCGTAATCTTTACTCATGTCCATTTTTAAAGCTATAAAACCCTCCTTCCCTTGGGTTTTCTGCTTTCGAAAATGCTGAACCTCAAAATCCAAAATAATATATATATATATACATATATATATATATATATATATATATATATATAGGGAAGAGTTCAAATGAAAAGTGGTCTTCCCGTGCAAAGTGCAAAGTTTTCACTTTTTCATGTTTCGCTTGCACTTTTTCTTGTTTGCGTTGCACTTTTTGGCCATTTTGATTTTGGCCAAATTCGGCCAAAATGACGGTGGCAGTTTTGTAAATAAACCAATTTTTTTGAGCTCCTGCGAAAAAGTGCAACGAAAGCAAAAAAAAGTGCAAGCGAAAAATGAAAAAGTGCAAACTTTACACTTTGCACGTTAAGACCACTTTTTATTTGAACCATCCTCTATATATATATATATATATATATATATATATATATAGAGAGAGAGAGAGAGTAACATTCCTGTCCGGCCACCTCCATTTGAGGTGGTTCCCGGTGATATTTTTTGCTGAAGTTTTTTAAGTATTTTCCTCATCAAGTCTAGTTCATCCATACAAAATTTCAGAAAAATATTAAATCGGGAAGTTTGTCAAATGAGTTTTGCATGATAACTGGTCCGTAATATACATATAAAACGCAGTTATCATGAAAAAATCATTTGACAACCTTCCCGATTGATTTTTTTCTGAAATTTGGTATGGATGAACTAGACTTGATGAGAAACATACACAAAAAATTTAAGCAAATATTACCACCAGGAACCACCTCAAATTGAGGTGGCCGGACGAGGCTCCTGTCCGGCCTGGCCGGACGAGACTCAGGCCGGACAGGAAGATTAGTTTATATATATATATATATAGAGAGAGAGAGAGAGAGAAAACCCTTGGAGAGCTCTGGCGATCTTGGTCGCATGGTGACGACGGCAGCGTGGGCTGCTCCGGCCTCTGGGTCGGGGGCGGCAATGCGATCGTTTGTGGAGGTTCTGGCTGCAAATAAGGAGATTCCGTTGAATGTTCCCTTTCGCCACAAGGGAATGTCGGCGGTCCAATTCTCAGAGGACGAAGTTTCGCTTCTTGCGGAAAAACACAAATACACTTTGGTTGGATCATTCGTTAGAGGTCGTCCTCAAATGGCGTTGTTGAGGCAGGAATTTGATAAAATTGGTTTCAAAGGGCCAGTTTCTCTAGGCCTCTTGGATCAGAAACATGTCCTTATCAAATTCACGTTAGAAGAAAATTTTCAAAGGTGTTAGATGCGTCAAGCGTGGATCATTCGAGGCTTTAAGATGCGGATCACTAGGTGGACGCCAGACTTTCGTCCTGATGTAGAGTCCCTGATAGTTCCGGTTTGGATTACTTTTGAAGGGTTACCGATTCATTTACAAGATAAGAGGGCATTATTCTCCATTGTAGGAATGGTGGGTAAACCACTTGAGGTGGATGCCATGACTGCCAATCTCTCTCACCCCTCTACAGCTATGGTATGCGTGAGTTGGATCTCTTACAGGAAATTCCAACAAAAATGTTAATAATGAATGGGAGCAAAGAAATAATTCAACCAGTGACGTACGAAGAACTTCCGGCTTATTGTGTCAAATGTAATAAGCTGGGGCACCACAAAGATGACTGTGGGGTAAGCAAAAAGAAAGAGGTGATACAATATAAGCAGCAAGGAGGTTGATAAGTCTGATTTGTTCGTATATTTTCACTCACTTTTATAGCGTTTCTTGTCAAACTCAGGGCAAATTGATACATTTTTCTGTAGTTTTGTTGCATTTTTGTTAATGTTTGAAATTAGTGTTGAAATTTACATTTTTGAGTGATTTATGTTTAATTCAAGTGTTTGGATTAATTTTATGTTTTTTTCTTCATATTTGAGTTATTTATATTTTGTAATTGGTCAAATTTCAATATCATATGATATTTCAATGTTTGATATTTACAATAAACATATGAAGTTAAGAAAACAAAAACAAAAAAAAATGAGAAAACAAAAAAAAATGCAGCAAGGCTGCGTGACAAAAAAAAAAGCAAACAAAAGAAGAATAAGTGGAGTACAAGGAGCCAACAAATCAAAGGAGATGGGATCTCCTAACTTGTGATCAGCCGCAAGAAAAGAAGGCAAGTCGGCAGCCAAAAAAAGGGAGAATTCCCTAAATAAGAATAAAAAAAGTTTTGAAATTCCAAAATAGGAGTATCATGTTTATTATTCCTTGAATATGAGTTAATTTCTGCCAAGTTTGGCATTACTAGGCTTTAAAACATGACATTTTCTTTCAAACTTGACAGATTACTCCTATTGAGAGGATAAAAAACATGATATTCCTGTTTTGGAATTTTAAAACGTTTTTGCTCCTATTTAGAGCAATTTCTAAAAAAAGCAGCACATGTCTACGGCCAATTCAAAACAAAACAACAAAAATAGGAAGCTACAATCAACTAGCTGCAAGGAGATGGGATGGGCAGCCAAATCATTTTCTGGGAAGAGCAATAAAAGGTCGGTAGTAGGAAAGAAAAGAATTAACACTTGCAGCTCTTGGCCGGAGGGCAAGGGCAGAACTGCTCTTGGCAGAAGAAGCTAAAGAATTGCAGATTTGGGATTGAAAAAATAATCCACTTGCGAGAGAGGGAGAAGCTGGCCGAAAGGAATGAACCCGAGCAGAAGAAAGAAATTTGCAACCACTAGCATGTTAATCTATGTTCATGAACAATTGTCATCTAGCTTTCAATCTTAACTTAAGGTTTGGTTTCGTTCTTGTATTTCTAGTCGTTGAAGTTTAATCCCGTAGATCCAAAAGCCCAACACAAACTTTGGATATATCAGGAAAATGGACGATAATTCAGTGTATAAAAGAAATATAAAAGATGATCTCAACGAACACTCAAAGCACACTTGTATTAAGTAATTTGACTATTACACTGGAAACTACCCGAACGGTATGTCGGAATAGTAACTAATACAAGAAATCAGAGAGATAATGTTATTCTAGGCTTGAGTATCAAAATGCTAACCCTTTACAATGAAACTAATCCTTCTATTTATACTAATGGGGGTATGGGGTACTTCATGTTGATTGGTTGCTTTATCTAGCCACTTGGAACCCATGCTCCCACTAGCTGCCGTCATACTTTAACAATAAATGCCCCCCTGCCACTTGTTGGCTACCCGCTGCCCGAATGGGCAGTGAATCCTGCTGGAATCATCATTGGTTTGGCTCGTTCACTGATTAGTCCGATCCCCGTTCGGTACATCTGATCTGGAGTCATTATTGATCTGGCCCATTAATGATTTAGCCCAAGCATGTTAATCGATCCGAACCTCATTCGGTACATATTTTTCCAAGAGCTGGTTCATTTTCTGGATGATGGGCCCGCCTAACGAAATGGATATTTTGGGCCTTAGATCCGGTATTGGGCCTGCGGCCCAATATCCTAACACTAGTTTTCCAGGCTTTCAAGTTTGTTAATTTGTTCTTGAGCAGTTATTATTTCGAATTTATGTTTTAATTATGTTGATGTATTACTTTAGTTTCTCCTCCATTAACGGTGTTAGATTCTTGTTAAGCATGCTAGGCTAAATTTTCATGGGGTTTGGATTTGGATAAAGTTAAGGTTAATGGGTGTTCTTGAATATTGAATTAAATTTAGGAAGTTTCTCCAATTTTTAGGACTACTTATTTGAGATGAAATGAAAGAGTAATTTGTGAAATTGATCACTTCACTTTTGAATGTTTGGAAAATTAATTCTTGCTTGTCTATGAGTGTAGAACTAATTTAGCTCTCATCTCACACACCCTAAACTAAGCCTAGAAATAGGACATGTTAGGGGAATTAAAATCAAGTTCTTGTCTATGAGAATTAATATGTCACTATTCTTAGATTGGAGAAATTATTCCATTTTTGTTCATAATCCAAGGACACCCAAGATCCTTAATTCCAAATCTAGACCCCCATTTTAATTAGTTAATTTATTGTCACTAGTCACATTAAATTTACCTTTTAGTATTTTATTTTTGAAACTTTACTCATCCACAAATTTGCTAGTTTAATATTTTAATTAGTTAATGTTCTCTCTCAAGTTATTTTGCATGTTCACTAGTTTTAGTTTACTCATTAATGTCATTTAATTAAATTATCTGTTACTACTTTTGTTATTTAATTTTATTTGCTTAATCATTATAACAATTAATCGTTTGAGAAACCTTGCAACGACTCGTACTAACCGGTGACCGATATTGAAACCAACACCTCCCTCCGCCACTCCTCAGAGACACGATACTCGGGGATAAACTTTTCCATACGGAAGGGTTAAACTCTGTTTTACTACAACGCCGCGAAAGCGGTTATCAAATGGCGCCGTTACCGGGGAGTGACACTCCTCAAAGGCACGTTTGAGAAGACATTGAAGGCTTACAGCCACATAAGGAGATTGAGGCCCGGGTGGAGGTCACTACTAAGGAGGGAGAAATTGAGCCGGTGGTGGGAAGGGAGAATACTACACATTCAGAACGACAAGAGCTGGAATTTGTAGCATCACAAACCGTGGATGTAACCAAACTCATTTCCTTTGAGGAGGGTAATGTGAGGGAGGTAGATGCTCAGAAGCAGGTTGAGCAGGAGGGGATAGTTTCTGATGGAGAATATATAGAGGAATGCATCTCAACGAAAGAGGAGTGGAAGGAGGTGTGTAGTGAGCTGCAAAGTAAGGTGGATTCAATTTCACAACAAAATAGCGTGGCTTTAGACGTTGTTGGCAGGAAGAAGATCAAGGAGACCATATTGGCTTATGCAGTCACCACCAGGTTTGCTGCAAAGAAGCTTTCAAAGGATACCCTTTCTTATGGTTCCTTATGAAGGTGTTATCATGGAATTTGAGGGGACTAGCCTCGTCGTGCCCGAGGCTACGTGACATCATTAAGCACCATCATATAGATTTAGTATCTATTATTGAACCTATGGTTGGAAGAGATAAGGGGGGTTATTTTAAGCATTTGTTGGGTTTTACAAATATCTTTATGGCTTCTTCTAATAAAATGTGGTTACTATGGAATAATCACACTTTTGACATTTCACAAATTTTGGAGGATGGGCCCGCCTAACGAAATGGATATTTTGGGCTTTTGATCCGGGTATTGGGCCTGCAGCCCAATATCCTAACACGAGTCCCCCACTTCCGATGTCTCGAACGGTGGTGATTGCATTGGGAAGTAGAAGTTACCTGCCGAATGGCGATCGGGATCCAGAGTTTGCTGATTCCCCATGCCACGATTAGTACCCTTTTCTGCGGCTGTCTTTTGATTTTTTCCATAATCGTCATGATTACTGGCTTTTGCCTCTCCATGCGACACATGTTATTGCAAATGGTTCAAGTGACGTGTCTTTATTTGATTGGTATTCGATATGGCGCTTGTAGGGCTATAAATTAGCTTTTAGCTCTTCGAATCCGGGTTTCAAATTTTCAATCTCTTCGTGCCTTAGCTCTGCCTTTTCTCTCAACCCCTTCAATCTTTTCGTGTCCAGGTAGTTCTCATCCCTTAATTCTCTCTTTTCTTTGATCTGATCGATATGAGTTCTCAATTGCGTTTCTATTCAGAAATGGCTTCCCAAGGGGAAGACCATGATGTGGAGGTTATCACCGTCCCTTTTGTTGACGGCTCCGATGCGGCGACGGCGGAGACTAGGGCGGAGACGGAGGATCCCTTCAGTCGTTCTTCTTCCTCTGGTGAAGATTCCGACGACACCAAGTCTGATGATGAACTCGCTTCTATGGCGGCCGGATGTTCAAGCGATTTCCCTCGTCACATGCTTGACCTAAGACTGATTAGAGAGAGGCAGCAAAAACTGACTTCTCACAACAGGGCCGAAATCCCGGCCCTAATCCCAGACCCAGTGGACTTCCGATTGCAAGCTAGGCTTCACCCAATGCGCCATACCCCTGGGATGGTTGAAGTCCACTTCGATTCAGTTAGGGCTGGGCTTAGGTTTCCATTGCATTCCTTTTTCGTTTCATTTTTCAATTTCTACGAAATTGTACCGGCCCAAGTCATGCCGAACTCCTATCGGGCAATGGCGGGCTTTATTTGCCGTTGTAAAGATGTCGGTGCCTCGCCGACCCTAGATTTATTTCATCAATTTTTTAAAGTGGCCCCCCAACAAACACATGGATATCTGGCTACTAGTGCCCGAACGGGACATATCCTGTTTAAGGGGAATCCGACTTCAATCAAAGGGTGGAAAGATCGGTTCTTCTTTGTGTCTGTCCCGGACGGCCTGATCCCTCGCAAATGGAATGCCTTCCCTCGCAAATCTCCCGATCCAGTCCTTACTGAGGAAATTTACAAGGATGTGTTCGCTGTGGAGAAAGACAAATGTTGTGATATCATGAGTTACTTGACTCCCGATCGGCTTGTCGAAGCCGGGATAGGTACTGCCCGTTCTCTTGGGTTTACTTGTTTTGAGAATCAAGTGCCATGGTCCGGGCGGTCCTTCCCGTGCGAGAAACGTTCTCTTCTTCTTTGTTTCCCACGTGATAAGGCCGCTCGGTACTAACATTTTCCTTTGTTATTTTTTAGCTCCCAATCCAGAGGCATCAATGGACAACAGTCGTGTTCTAGCAGCCGGTGGGGTCGAGAAACGGAAGAAGGCAAGGAAAATCCCCCAACCCAATCCTTCCACCACCATTGTTCCAGATGTCGGGTCTTCTCAACCCGTTCAGGAGCCACAACCGCTTCAACAGGTCCCTCATCAGGATCAATTTGACGCTATGCTGATCGACGATCGGTTCGGATCTGATCAGCTGCATCAATTCTCTAAGCATTTCCAGGCTGCTCAGGAGACTAACATGACTGCAGGTGAGACCAACATCATCCACCTTTCTACGCAGGTCGAACGGATCTCTCTGGCAGATCCAGTTCACGAAATGTTGGAGAAGGCTGGTTCTCTTGCAAGCCAGATTTGGTCCACTTCTTCGTGGTTCAACAATTTTTCCGTTCCTAAGATGCCAGTCGAGCAATCCGAAGAATGCCTGGCTTTGGCAGCTCTGAAGGTATCTCCTTTTTTCCTTATAGTTTCTCATAGTTTAAATTCTGTTCTACACCATCTCACTTCTCGATCGACATTCTGTAGGTTAGGCTCTACAGCCTGCAGCTGAGGGAGGCTCGACTGGCTAAAGAGCGGGACCTGATCGTCGCTCAGACCTCTGCGGAGCAGAATGCAGCTGATGCCTTTGCCGCTTTGGAGACTGAACGGAAGGCCTCCGTGGAGGAGAAGCAACACCTCGAGTTAGAGCTTGGTGAGCTCAGGGTCCAGCTCGGGGGCTTCCAAGCCAAAGTCTACGCTGTTGAAGCTACTTTGGTGAGGTTCGAAGAGACCGCTTCCCGTATCCTGGACGGCCCTGCTGAGGTGAAGGTTGATCTGTCCGCCGTCCGAGAGGCATTTAAAGGGTCTGAGCAGTTTGCTGCTCTGAAGAAAGATTATGCGCAGCAGGAACTCCCAGCCACCTTCGGTGCTTATCTCGATCGATTCTCCACGGGTGATGCTCGCCGCAGCGAAGGGGTTAAGCTGCTCGACCAGGATCCAAGGGGCAAGAAATTCAATGACTCTCTGGCCCGATCTCTTTATGTTATGGGCTGCCAGCATATCCTGGCCCCCTTTGTGGCCAAGCTGCAAGAGATTCTAGGGAGGCCGATCAAGCTTACCGATCTTCCCCAGGTGCCCATCGTTGAAGCCCAATTTGAGAAGTATCAAAGGGACTTACAACGGGTTGCTGATCGTGAAGCGGGGAGAGAGTCTGATCCCCTTACTGATTCGGATGAGGAGGAAGGCGATGAAGAAGAGAATAGAGAGGCCTCTGGCCAGTAAATTTAGAATTTCGTATTTTAGCAACTGTAATCCCTTCCTCCTTCTCCTTTTTTTCAAACCACATTTGTACTTTCCGGTCGATAGAGCCGATGAATATATATAAGATCTCTTTTGCACAAAGCTTCACATATTGTTTTTCTTGCCTTTATTGATTTATTGCTTACCATTCGGGGTTCGGTCCGTTTTATAGGACTTAGCAGTTTTTCTAACCTCATTTTTTATCATTCTTCCTATAACCGTTCGGGCTTCAGATAGTTCTGATAATTTACCAGGACTTGGCCCCTTTCTCGTGTTGATTGCCGCTCGGGCTTCAGATAGTTCTGTAGGACTTAGTCGTTTAGTGAATCTTTTGTTTCTAATGTTCCATCTATTCCACCTAACTGTTAATAGAAACCCTGTTCGGTTTAGTTTGCTGCCCCTATCTTTTGACTCGCCTGGATTCTGAATTTTCCCCATCCCGCCGATCTTTATCTTTTGTTCTTCAAATACTACCCGTTCGGGGTCTCTAAAAATACTTGTTTCAAACTTATGGCTTATGTCGACCTTGGTCCGGGATGTCTATTAATACGTTCATCGTTCGGTGTCTTTAGGATGGCTTCCCCAAAACTGTTAACCCGTTCTTTATGAAATACCCATTAATCGTTCGGGGAACGTGCTTGATTACCATAAATGTGCCATAATTTCGTACAACCACATTTCACCACGTTTCCTGAAGTCTATTTGGACTGCTTTGATGCAAAACAGATATGGTGGAAGGAGTTTGGGGAGGTTAAGCCCACGGATTCTCCAACTTGGAGAAGGATAAGCCTCATTCATGAGGAGGCTGAGCAAATGGTGACTAGGGGCCCTAATTCTATTTCCTGAAGATATACAACGGATGGAAAATTTACATAAAAAACAGCTTATGAAGCCCTCTGGCCTCAAAGAGGAAGGACCCTTTCCATTTCTCAAATCTGGCACTCTAAACATGTGCCAAAGATTAGGATTTTCCTCTAGAGACTGTGGAATAATTGTGTCCCTTTCCTTGAGCAGATAATATCTTTCTCAACCGTTTACCCAACCATGTGCCCATTTTGCAGAATATCAGGGGTCAGCCAGGACCATGTTCTCTTATCATGCAGAGTGGCATGATCAGTGTGGGATTTCTTTGCACTTTCCTTTATATCAACCGGTCAAATAACAACAACCATTAAATTGGAGATTATGAGATGGTGGATTAGTACAAAAGGAAAATCCATGAATGCGGTGTTTCAGATGGTCTTACCAGGAGTAATAGTTTGGCACATGTGGAAATCCTATTGGGATATGGTCAACAGTGACTCAGAACAGCGGGAGGGAAGTTTGATTCAGCAAATCCGGAAATACATGTTAGAATGGTGCTACTCAAACTCAAAGTTGCAGGGAAATGAAAGATTAAAAAGATTAGGTTTCTTACCTAGTACGTTTGGGAGGATGAAGCGTCAAACTGGTACCTAGAGGAAGCTAAGGGAAGGTGCAATGAAGTTGAATGTGGCTATACATCAGGGAATTGGTAGGTCGGCTGCTGGCTTCTTGCTTCGAGACCATGCTGGAAAGATGGTGGCCGCTAAGGGTTTTCCGTTGAGCGGTTCTGGAGATCTGGAAGGGGAAGTGTTGGATAAGGCGATGAATTGGGCGGTGGCACTTCAGTTGCCTAATGTGATGTTAGAGGGGGATTTTTCTGGAAGGGGAGGATTGGGCCGTGATCTTGGGCTGCAGATTATCCCTGCCCATGTAAATCAGTCAGCGTCTCTATTGGCAAAACTGGGCTGGGCTGGGGTTTTCAGTTGGCAAGTAGGAAATTTTATTCCAAAGTAGTTGAGGGGTCTATTATTTTAGATGCTTCAGATTTACCCTATATTTTTTTATTGTTGCCTATTTGTAGCTTCTCTTGTTGGTTTGGTAGGTCTTTTCTCCTCCATGTGTAAATTGCTTTGAGTTAATAAAATCTGGTAGATGTTCCCCAGCATCTACCACACTCATTTTGGTGGTTTGCCTTCCGGGGTAAATATATATATATATATATATATATATATATATATATATATATATATATATATATATATATATATATATATATATATATATATATATATATATATAACAATCGATCTCCCAAGAATAAATGCACTCTCATTTTCCGCAATAATGTTACCCAAAAGATACTTCATCCGATTTGCCAAAACCTTTACAAAAATCTTGTAAGCCACATTACACAAAGCAATAGGTCTCTAGTCCTCTAACGTTTGGGGTTGATCTTTTTGGTTATCAAGACAATGGTAGTATCATTACATCTCTCAAAGTATATGCCCAATGCGAAAAATATCCCTACAAAAATAAAAAACACCCGATCCCACCACATCCCAAAAATGCTGTAAAACCCCCGAATTCACTCCATCTGGTCTCGAAGCTTTGTGAGGTTGCATGCTAAAAGCGGTTGCTTTCACCTCTTTCATAGTGATATCGAACATGTTGATCCTCCTTAATTTTACTTTAAATCCTCCCGGTATATAAATCGATACCCCCTCCCCTGCGGTAAAAATAATTAAGTACCATACCATCGAGTTTATCCTGACCAGTAATCCATTCTCCAAGATCCATGCCTAAGCCTAGGGGTGGACATTTCAGTTTTCGGTTCGGTTTTCATCGGTTTCGGTTCAGTTTTGATTTAATCGGTTTGATAGAAAATGTACCAAATACAAACTGATTAAGTTTCGGTTTGGTTTCGGTTTGGTACGGTTTGGTTTGGAGTTCGGTTTACCAAGTATTAAGGTTTGGATTGAAATAAAAAAAATTAACTCAAAATAATGAACCAAGAAGCGATAGTAATGAACCAAATATAATGTTAGATATAAATTTGCAAACAGTAACAAAACACATATGAACCAAAAATATATAAGCATGACACATTTGTAAGCAGCAACAACAACGGAAATGAATCAAATTATATATAAAGCCGAAACAAAAACAAAATTGGTGCTAGTAAGTAATGAACCAAATATATAGTAGTAGTAGATAATAAATTATAGTTATATACTATCTACTTAAACCACTATAATTGTTATAGCTGTGAATGTAAGTTTTGTAGTAAACTCTAGTCCTCGACACTAAAATTAAAGAATTAAAGATTCAAAAAGATTAACATCAATCAAATTAATGAGAGAAATCTTATATTTCAGTTTGGTTTAGTTTGGTGTAAGTTGATTTTGATTTGTTATTTTAAAAAAATAAGAAATTATTTCATTTTTAGATTAGTTCGGTTTTATTCGGTTTTATTCGATTTATGATTTCGATTCGGTTCGGTTTAATATGGGTTGAGAGGAATACTACCAAACTCAAACCAAATTACAAATGGTTCAGTTTCGGTTTGATTTAATTCGGTTTGGTACGATTCGGTTCGGTCAAACCGAACCCTTATGCTCACCCCTACCTAAGTCTTTCTCGTTTTTCCTGAAAAGTTTTAGGTAATGTAATAATGGATTTACGTCAAGTGGTCAAGATATTAGTATGGGTAGAAAGTTGGATTTATTTAAGAAAGTATTAAAGATATGTAAGGGCAGTTTAGTCATTTTAGTGACCTTTTGTTATAAAAAATGGAAGTGTTTCAATTATTTTGAAACTTCAAAAAAGGCATGTGTAGCATTTATTTAAGAACGAAAGAAATATATTATTATCTCCACCCAGTATAAATTCCTCTCATTTATTAAGCAAAATGAGAGCTCGTTTGGTAATACTAAAATTGGTTGAATTGGTTGATTCTGCTGAAATTTATGAAGTTCTGACTAAAGTGGCTGTATTGGCTGATTTTGGTGATTCATGAAAAAATTATATTTAAAATATTTGTTATCAATAAATTAAATAAAAAATTATATGAAAAAAAAACTAAAATGATCCTCTACGGTAACTCCAGTCAAAACAGTCAGAAAAGTAATTACAACCACCTTATCTTTTCTGCTTATTACAAACTTTGGCCCACAAAATCATAACTTACGTGTTTGGTGAAAAAGCTGATTGATAAGACGAAAAAGAGGTCGTCAGGCCCATATGATCTCTTCGATCTTATGTACCATGGAATCAGAACTGAGCCAATCTTATCTTTTTGATGATGAAGCTCGGCTCGTTCGGAGTGCAGTTCCGTATATAACCAATCTCAGAGGTAAGAACATTCCAGACATAGTCTTACTAGAACTAGAGATGGCAATTTCGACCGATCTGTTGGATACCCGCACCGAACCGATTTAGTCAAACTGGGGAAAACCGGTTTGACTGGGGAACGGGTACGGGGCGGGGAATACCCGATTTTTTTAAATGGATAATGGTGCGGTTATGGTTCTATACTAATCCGCCCCGTTATCCGCCCCGAAACCGCCCCGTTCACTAATAGTGCGGGTATCTGCACCGTTACCCGACCCATAACATTATTAATAAAATATAACTTTATATATATAAGAATAATAAGTATATATGCTAAATTGTGTACACTAAATCGTATATCTCATATAACTATATAAAGACTACTATAGCAGAGGTCCGCTTCAAAAACCCTAACATCCATAACTCAGTGTATTACGGATTTATGGTTCAGGACTCCGCTTCTTAATAGTGAGAACAGCTCTCTTCGATCTTTCTAGATGGAACGATGCAAGGCCTGCAGTTCGGCTCTACCGCCGGTGATTTCTATCTTTCTCATTATCAAGGATTCGACCCAGTTCCTTTTTTTCTTCTGTTTACTACTTTTTTTATTATGTTACGAGAGATATTGAGTGCTTGTCATATTAATGAATTTAGGACTAAAACTGCTTGATTGATTGAACATTTACTTTTGTATATTTTATGGTGCTTTTAATATATAATTTACTACGAATGATGTTTACATTAACAAGTAGGGTTAGAAATTGATTATTTGGTATCATTTAGGCAAACGGGTACCCGTGGATAAACCGATTCCCCGTTGGGGCGGTTACGGTTCAAATAAAAATTACCCGAACGGGTAATAGGGCGGTTTTGGGGCAAACATTTATCTAACGGGGCGGTTTCGGTTTTATGTGTACCCGTCCCCGATCCTCCCCGTTGCCATCCCTAACTAGAACCCTCTCGGCGCGCCGTTTCAAATGACTTACAAAAGCAGTCTTCCCCCCCTTCAAACTGCAATTCTCATCTATTGTTCAATACATAGAGACAGAGTAAAAGCGACTTATGGCAGACGAAGCTAAGAGCAAAGGCAATGCGGCTTTCTCCGCCGGAAATTTCGAGGAGGCCGTCAACCACTTCACTGAGGCGATCAACCTCGCACCAACCAATCACGTCCTCTTCTCCAACAGATCAGCTGCCTATGCCTCACTCGGCAATTTCTCCAACGCCCTATCTGACGCTCAGAAGACTGTCGAGCTCAAGCCAGACTGGTCAAAGGGGTACTCCCGGTTGGGAGCGGCTCACCTTGGCCTTCGTAACTACGAAGGAGCTGTTGCTGCTATAGGAAGGGTCTAGAATTCGATCCGAATAACGAGGCATTGAAATCTGGCCTCGCCAATGCGCAGTCTTTTGAGGCCCGTTCCAGTAGACCATCTTCTTCTCCCCTGGGGGATGCGTTTTCGGGACCAGACATGTGGGTTAAGTTGACCCGAGACCCTACTACACGGGCTTACTTGCAACAGCCAGATTTCGTAAAAATGATGCAGGATATCCAGAAAGATGCTAATAATCTTAATAACTATTTGAAGGACCAGAGGGTAATGCAGGCACTTGGCATTCTGTTAGGTGTGAATTTGCAGACTAGGACGGCAGAGGACTATCACGAGGTCCCTGAAGCTTCCTCCCAGCGGAAAAGGCCGGCTGAGTCTGAGCCTGTGAAGGTTAAACGTTCTGAACCTGAACTTGAACCGAAGACAGAACCCCAACCTACAGAGCTATCTGTGGAGGAGAAAGAGTTTACGGATAGGAAGTCTCATGCATTAGAACAGAAAGAGGCTGGTAATGCATCCTATAAGAAAAAGGATTTTGAGACGGCTATTCATCACTATTCAAAAGCTATTCAGCTTGAGGATGAAGATATTTCGTTCCTTACTAATAGGGCTGCTGTGTACTTGGAAATGAGGAAGGTATGTTTCATCTTATATATGACATACTGGCATATCTTCTTGGAGTTTGATTTATTATTTCAGTTTATTGATTGATTGAGAAAGACTGTGCCTTTATTTGAATTCTTATTTCTCCATTAATTCATTGTTGATTAAGGGGGTGTTTGGATTTGATTCTTAAAACTGCTTCTGCTCCTTCAGGGAGCACAAGCAGAAGTTGGAGTGTTTGGGTAAAAGTGCAGAAGTGATTCTGGTGCTCTAATTTACTCCTAGAATCAGTTTTTTTAGAAGCTGGGGGGTGACCAGCTTCTGAAAACTGATTCTGATTCTGCTTCTGCTTTAAAAAAGAATCAGAATCAGAATCAGTTCCAAACACCCCCTAAATGCTACTTATTATTGAGTTAAGCTTAGAGTTATTCCTGTTCTATGTTGGAATGGGTATATGTATCATCTTGACCGTATATATGTGACATCACAACATCATCATTTTTTGTTTACCAAATACTGCTTTTATTGTAAATATGAATCTATGTAGTATCACTGTATCATGTTACCGTTTAGGTTGTGAAGTAGTGAGCCTCACTTGATTTAATTTGAAATACTAACTTAATTTTCATACATTTAATCAGTATGAGGAATGCATCAAAGATTGTGATCAAGCTGTTGAGAGGGGGTGAGAACTTAGATCTGATTTCAAGATGATAGCAAAGGCTTTGACAAGGAAGGGCACAGCCTTGGTGAAGATGGCAAAATGCTCAAAGGACTTTAAACCTGCTATTGAGACTTTCCAGAAAGCTCTTACAGAACATCGCAATCCTGACACACTAAAAAAGCTTAATGATGCAGAAAAGGCAAAGAAAAAATTAGAGCAACAAGAGTCCTTTGATCCACAGATATCTGATGAAGAGCGTGAGAAAGGTAAATTACATCATCTATGAACGGTTTCTTTTTAATGGTTATGTATGTTGTATTTCATACTAATGCAATGTTGAACTGTAGGTAACCAGTTTTTCAAAGAACAAAAGTATCCCGAGGCAATCAAGCACTATACAGAATCTATAAGAAGGAACCCCAAAGATCCAAGAGTAATGCCTTGCTTATTTTGTTTTTATATTTTGCATTGTAATTCAATCAGTTATTCTGTCCCAATGTATAAGCGTATTTCAATTCCCCCATTCTGTTCTAGTAGTTCTTTGTTCTCAAGTAATTTTTGCTTTGATTATCAAGAAAGACTATCTGATCATTTCTACCATTGCACCTTTGCACCCATAAACACTCTAACATTGTACTACTTTTACTTGATTCTAAAAAAACTATTTATTTGTTAAATCTCTGAATGTGTGCAGACCATTTAAACAACACTTTAGGAGATGGGATGACTTGTAGAGTTCAAAAACTGAGATTGACATCATTGTTGTACAAACCTTAGAGGGAGCGAAATTTCTTACCTGATGTTCTTGCTCTCTTTGACTCTTTTTAGGCATATAGCAATAGGGCTGCTAGCTACACCAAACTTGGGGCATTGCCTGAGGAGCTCAAAGATGCTGAGAAATGCATTGAGCTCGATCCTACATTTGCAAAGGGTTACACTAGAAAGGGTGCTATTCAGTTTTTCATGAAAGAATATGAAAAAGCTCTGGAGACCTATCAGCAGGGCTTGAAGCTAGATCCTCATAACCAGGAATTACTAGACGGTGTGAGGAGGTAAAGTGGAAATATTGAATCATTTTGAATACATTTTTGGTGTCTAAGGGAAGGAAAATAAAATGCGGAGAAATGTTAATGTGTTATGTTTAACTTTTCTTGGAAAATGTAAAGAAAATCAAGTGATTGATTTCTTTAAAAAAGAAATGGTATATTTTGATTTCATAGTATTTTAATTAATATATAAATAAGGACAACTATATATAGCCTAAACAAATAATCAAAACTAAAGTTATTGAGTTATTTTTGTCCATCCATCATTTTCCGAGTTATTTTATTTCCCTAGTATTTCACGGGTTCTAAGGGAACCATTGAAAAAAATGTAATAGTTGAGAATTGGTGTTAAATTACAGCTGTGCTGCACAAATAAACAAAGCAACCCGTGGTGATCTAAGCCCAGAGGAGCTCAAGGAGAGACAGGTTAAGTTTTGCTATCCTTTTTGGAGCTTAATATTTACTCTCTTTGCGGGAGAAAATGTGGAAATGGTGGTGTAAGTTAACAGTTATCAAAACTCAATGCAGGCTAAGGCAATGCAAGACCCAGAAATCCAGAACATTTTAAGTGGTCCTGTAATGAGACAGGTATGGGTGTGACCTTTCTTGCAGATCATGGTACTATATTGAAGAGTTTGGATGTTTTACTTGAACTGGTTTATGTCACATATCAGAGCAGATTTGACTTAAACAGATCAGATTAGACTTTGGCAATTATAAAATTATAAAATATATATGGACCAAATATCTACTAGACCTGTTCATTCCTGTCCGCGATTTCCGGTTAAACCGAAACAAGAACGACAAGTTTTTGAATTGGAATCGTATGTTGGGCCCGTTTTTTAATTTTGATAATAGAAATAGCCCTAAATAGGAGTAAAAACGCTTTGAAATTCCAAAATAGGAGTATTATGTTTTTTATTCTTTGAATAATAGTAATCTGTCAAGTTTGGAAAAAATGTCATGTTTAAAAGCCTAGTAATGCCAAATTTGGTAGAAATTTACTCCTATTTAGGGAATAAAAAACATGATAGTTCTATTTTGGAATTTCAAAACTTTTTTACTCCTATTTAGGGAATTTACTCTATGGCAGCTAAATACTCCCTCCGTCCTTTAAAACTTTGTCATCTTTCCTTTTTGGGACGTCCCAAAAAACTTTGCCACTTTCCCTTTTAATAAATTATTTTGTGGTTTCTGTTATTTCTCTCCTCTGCACAAAGCTCAACCACACAGTTTTTACCTTATTGTTTTCCGTGTCGGTCAACTTTGGCAAAATTTTAAGGGACGGAAGTAGTATTATATTTGGTGGCAGTGGTTCGACTATTCCGTATTTATTTAGGTGGAAGACGAGTCTCCTATAGTTTAATTTACTCATGTTGTGTGCCATGCTCGTACATACGTATGTATATAAAATATAAATACACATATGTGTGTGTGTGTGTATATATATATATATAATATTTACTCCCGCATGTATATAAAATATAAATACACACACATATGTATATATATAATATTTACTCCCTCCGTTCCCATTTTATCTTCCGTTTCCCATGGGCAAACAATTTAAGAAAAGGTAATTATTGGGTTTGACTTTTCTGTTTTACCCTTTTAAAAAGCAAATTAAAGTGAGTGATGTGTACGGTAAAAAGTAGCCCACTACTCCGTATTACTCCATTCCAAATAAAGGTTGCGTATACATTGCCAAAAGGTTACCTTTTGGCGGGGACTTTTCAGACTTCCTCCAAAATATACCCAAGTCCAAACAAAAGATCTAACTGTTCTATAAATAACAAGTCATAGCCCTAAAATTCACCCTCACAACTTCCAACAAAAATTACAAGAACATGGAAAGTTCTGAAATTGTTCAAAAAAAGGCTTTCCAATGAAGTGTCACAACTCACAAAGGTGTATCACACATTCACACATATTTGGCAGCATATAAGGAAATGTCAACGGGAGGGTTTACCAATGAATGTTGACAGAAAAATGACTAGAAAGGTAGGTAAGAAAGCAGTAATAACAGCTCCAGTTGACATTACAAATATAGAACTACATCGAAGGAAGAGCATAAGAAGTCTGGCAAAGGCGATGAGCATACCCTCAAGAAATGTGCACAGACTCATCAAAAAATGTTTGATAAAAGTACACACAAATGCTATAAAATCATTTATGAGACTCAAACATGACAAAGAGGATGGAATGGGTAATTTCACAAATTGTTCCACAGTCAATGATTTCTCGATTTCTCATCCACAGTTTGAACCCATGTTCAATTGTGTGCATGTGGATGAGAAGTGGTTTTACATGACCCCGGGTGAAGAGGAGCCTTACAGAAGTTGCAAGTCCAAGAGATACATCACAAAAGTGATGTTTCTCTGTGTTGTTGCTAAGCCTAGATTTTCTCCAGATTCTGAAGTGTTATTTGATGGGAAAATAGGTATTTTTCCATTCACTGAATTTCGGCCAGCTAAAAGGAATAGCAAAAATAGAGCACAAGGTACAATAGAGAAAAAGGCAATAGACAGTGTGACTAAAGAAGTATATAGAGAATGTTTACTCAGAAAGGTGCTCCCTGCCATCAAAGCCAAGTGGTCAATTGATGCATCTGGTCATATTTTTATCCAATAAGACAATGTCAAACCACACATACAGCCTAATGATAGTGAATTCATGGCAGAGGCTACTACTGAAGGTTTTAATACTCCCTCCGTTTCTAAAACAAGTTCCCCATTGCTTTTCACAGTTTTTAAGGAAAAACAATTACTGAGGGTAAACTTTACTGTTTTGACACTGTTGGGGCACTGTTTGGCACTGTTTGGCACCGTTTTGATGTAGTTAATTTGCCAAATAAAGAAAGGGGAACTTAATTTGGGAACTACCCAAAAGGGAAAGTGAGAACTTGTTTAAAAAACGGAGGGAGTATAAAACAAGCATGCCAATTACCCAATAGTCCTGATCTAAATATTCTGGATCTAGGTTTTTTAGGTCAGTTGAGTGCTTACAATAGACCAATCGAAGTTCTACAGTTTTAGAGTTAGTAGCAGCAGTGACCAAGGCATATGATGAGTTCAGTCCCTATACTTTAAACAAGGTGTGGCTATCACTACAGTTGTGTATGAATGAGATATTAACTGTTAAAGGTAACAACAACTACAAAATACCTCATATAGGAAGGACAGCCTACATGCTCAGGGGGAACTACCTATCTCAATTGGTGCAGACCCAACACTAGTGAGGGAAGTTATGGAGCTGTTGGCTAATGGTAGCACTCAGGCTTAGGTATAGTAGGTACTGGTACTGGTTTTTGGGTACATACATGATCTGGCTTTTTTGCTTCTTGGTTTTTGGGTACATACATGATCTAAGTTTTTTTTTGTTTTTGGGTACACACAGGTTCTTGATATTTTTGGTTTTTGGGTACTGATAGGTTCTTGATACTTTTTGTTTTTGATACAGACAAGTTCTTGATATTTTTGGTTTTTGAATAGTCACAGGATCTTGGATTGGGCTACAAACAATGTACACATCAAAACACTGTCATCAACTATATATGAAGGCATATTATCTTATTTTGACTCAGTATTTGGCACAAATTCATCACACTAAATCATTCAGGCATATAGATAACATTTAGGCACATTCATTCAACAGTTAGGGCATATCATCATATAGACAGAGAGGCATATAGACAACATATAGGCAACATAGATTACCCCACTCAGTCAACTGCTAAACCACATCTCTATTAGCCAATCACTTAGGGCATAACATCATATAGGCAGAGAGGTAGTTTGGTCAACATGAATTAAGCAGAGAGACATATAGGCAACATATATCAAGTATGAATCAGTTAGGGAATAACCATCATAGGCATTCAGTAATTACATATTCAAGCAATACCCAGCACTCATTCAAGCATATAGGCAACATAGATTACTCCACCCAATCAGTCAACTGCTAAACCACATCCCTATTAGCCAATTAGTTAGGGCATAACATCATATAAGCAGAGGTAGTCTGGTCAACATGAATTAGGCAGGAGAGGTATATAAGCAACATAGATTGAGTATGAATCAGTTAGGGCATAACCATCATAGACAATCAATAATTACATATTCAAGCAATACCCAAGCACTCATTCAGGCATATAGGCAACATAGATTACCCCACCCAATCAGTCTACTACTAAACCACATCCCTATTAGCCAATCATTTAGGGCATAACAGAGAGGTAGTTTGGTCAACATGAATTAGACAGAGAGGCATATAGGCAACATAGATCGAATATGAATCAGTTAGGGCTAGGGCATAACCATCATAGGCAATCATTAATTACATATTCAAGCAATACCCCAGCACTCATTCAGGCATATAGGCAACATAGATTACCCCACCCAATCAGTCAACTGCTAAACCACATCCTTATTAGCCAATCAGTTAGGGCATAACATCATATAGGCAGAGAGGTGATTTGGTCAACATGAATTAGACAGAGAGGCATATAGGCAACATAGATTGAGTATGAATCAGTTAGGGCATAACCATCATAGGCAATCAGTAATTACATATTCAAACAATACCCAAACACTCATTCAGGCATATAGGCAACATAGATTACCCCACCCAATCAGTCAACTGCTAAACCACATCCCTATTAGCCAATCAGTTAGGGCATAACATCATATAGGCAGAGAGGTAGTCTAGTCAACATGAATTAGGCAGAGAGGCATATAGACAACATAGATTGAGTATGAATCAGTTAGGGCATAACCATCATAGGCAATCAGTAATTACATATTCAAGCAATACCCAAGCACTCATTCAGGCATATAGGCAACATAGATTACCCCACCCAATCAGTCAACTGCTAAACCATCATTTAGGGCATACCATCATATAAGTAGAGAGGTAGTCTGGTCAACATGAATTAGGCAAAGAGGCATATAGGCAACATAGATTGAGTATGAATCAGTTAGGGCATAACCATCATAGGCAATCAGTAATTACATATTCAAGCAATACCCAAGCACTCATTCAGGCATATAGGCAACATAGATTACCCCACCCAATCAGTCAACTGCTAAACCACAACCCTATTAACCAATCAGTTAGGGCATAACATAATATAGGCAGAGAGGTAGTTTGGTCAACATGAATTAGGCAGAAAGGCATATAGGCAACATAGATTGAGTATGAATCAGTTAAGGCATAACCATCATAGGTAATCAGTAATTACATATTCAAGCAATACCCAAGCACTCATTCAGGCATATAGGCAACATAGATTACCCCACCCAATCAGTCAACTCCTAAATCACATCCCTATTAGCCAATCAGTTAGGACATACCGTCATATAGGCAGAGAGGTAGTTTGGTCAACATGAATTAGGCAGAGAGGCATATAGGCAACATAGATTGAGTATGAATCAGTTAGGGCATAACCATCATAGGCAATCAGTAATTACATATTCAAGCAATAGCCAAGCACTCATTCAAGCATATAGGCAACATAGATTACCCCACCCAATCAGTCAACTGCTAAACCACATCCCTATTAGCCAATAATTAGGGCATGACATCATATAGGCAGAGAGGTAGTCGGGTCAACATGAATTAGGCAGAGAGGCATATAGGCAACATAGATTGAAACTGAATCAGTTAGGGCATAAACATCATAGGCAATCAGTTAGGGCAAAAAATCACAGGCACCATTTCTCACATATGCAACATATAGGCAACATAAAGGAAACTAGATTCTTTATCACCGAGTTAGGCAACATATATGCAACATTCTAACCAAATTAGGAAACGTAGTCATGAAACCAGTTTATCCAGTCTTTCTTGAACTTTAGGGTTTGGGTCAGCATGTGCACTCGCGGGTAGAAGATACCCCACATTCGTTGTATCCACTGGTCGAAGGTAGATGAATATGATATTGTCAATGGAGGCTTGACCGCTTTGGTCCAAGATCTCAGCCTCAGGGACGAAGTCGGGCAAGATCTCAGCCTCAGGGACGTAGTCGGCCAAGATCTCAGCATCTGGGACGAAATCGGCCCATCTGGATGAATCCTCTGAGTCCTCAACCACCACACCATTAAAATCACCATGCATGTTCAAAACCGAGGAATTTACGGCCAAGATCTCAGAATCTGGGATGAAATTGGCCCATCCGGATGAATCCTTTGAGTCCTCAATCACCACACCATTAAAATCACCATGCATGTTCATAACCGAGAAATTTATGGCCATTAATGGGAGGCTTTGAAGATTGAATGGGTGGGATGATTGCAGATGAATGGACAGGGATGGAGGATACTTTTCCAGATGAGGATGGAATGAGTAATGAAACGACAGAGAGTGTGGAGAGTGTGGGAGTGGAAGGTGCCAGAAGTGGGTAAGGTAATAAATGTGGGTGGGTGATAATAAGTGGAACGGTGGGTGGAGTTATTAATTACGAGGGTAGTGAGATAATTTTAGGTAAGAAACATTTCCTAATATAGAAAGTGGAAGTTTTAATTGGAATGGACGAAAAAGGAAAGTTGGAAGTTTTTTAAGGAACGGAGGGAGTATAAAAAACTACTACCTCCGTCCCAAAATGAATTTCTCATTTCGGATTACGATGCTTGACCGACGATAAAGCAACTCGATCCCTGTTCATACTCAGATTACTTTTAGTAAATAAAATTTACATATTGAGAAACTACATTAAAACCGTTTAAAGGCTGATAAAAAAAATTTAAATTTGATATAAATTTGATATATAAAACATAAGATTAAGAGTAATTTAAGTTGACCATGTGAATAGTGACTGTGAAGTTCATTTTGGGACGGAGGGAGTATATTTTTTATTTTTACAAATTTTCCCCATGTTTCGTTTCATATATTTTTGAAAAATTGTGTTTCCAATGTTTCCAGTTTCTTGTTTCCCATTTCCCGTTTCCGTGCTACTTAAGATGTTTTTACCTGGTCTGTTTAAGTCTGGTCTGGTCTGTTTAAGTCTGGTATGTTCTGGTCTGGTAAATATCTGGTCTCTGTGTATTTTATAACTATAGAAGTCTAGTCTGGTCTGATCTGATCTGTTTAAGTTTGGTCTGTTCTGGGACTAAAAATAGTTCAAGTAAAAACATCCTTAGTGTAGTATTTCTGGTCTGGAATTAGAGGTTTACTAGCGTGGTTCAGTTCTTACAAAAATTGGATGTTCTGATTCACAAACATACGGTTTTGATTTGGAATCTCTTTTTAATTAATTAATTACTTAAAAATAATCATTGTTCTAACAATCAACCTAGTTAGATTGATTAATCAGCCTAATTGGTCCTAATTGTAGAGGACTAATCAGCCTAGTTGGCCAAAAAATCGGCACTGTTAGCCAAAAAAGTCGGTCCAATTTGCCAAAAGATCAGCTTAATCAGCTGTCTAGGCATTGGACGCCCCTCAACCGGCCCGACTAGCGCTTAACGAGTTTTAGAACAATCATAATAATGTAAACAATATACAACTAATAGTAGTCATAGTAGTACTATGAGTAGTTGTAATAATAATAGAAATATGAATTATAATTGTTACTAGTTCCTACTCATTAGTTATTACTAACTAAATTACTTTTTTATTAAAATTATTGGTAATAAATTTACATAATTAATTAATCACAAAATTATTTTAAAAAATTCCTTGTAGATTTGTAAAACCTAATTTATAACTATTCAGCTATTAACTACGTAGTACTCCCTCTGTCCCGAATTAAATTGCAAACTTTGACTGGCACAAAGATTAAGGAATTACAATAAATGATGCTTGCTTTTTACACTTTTGTCCATCTTCTTAAAAGTAGATGTCTTTAAAGTTAATGGGAAAATATAAAAGTAAGGGTAGATTTTTCACTTTATTCTTATTTACATACCTAAAATAGAAAGTGGAAAACCATTTTGGACAACCAAAATAGGAAATTTCTCAAATCAAACGATATTAGTGCTTCTAATATTAGTGCTTCTCATTTTGGGACGGAGGGAGTATAACAATGATAGATATTACTATTAGTGCTTCTAGTATTTTTTAGAGGACCCTTTATTAATTTATTTTTAAAAAATCAACTAAAGCTTGATATCTAAAAAAATGGAATTGGGAAGCTGAATAGGAATTGCCGGTCTTGGAACCAGTACTGTGCGGTTCTGATTCCATCCCAAAATTTGGAACTGCTAATTGTTGGTTCCATGGTTTCGATTCAGTTCTGAACCGGGGTCACCTCTAGTTCAGACCATACCAAAACAGACCACACCAGATTTGGAAATTTAAGTTCAATTAAAAGCATTCTAAAACTTACTCATTTTTATCTATAATACTATAGTTATAATACTACCTCCGTCCCACTAACATTGGTACGGAAGAAGGTGGCACAGTTATTAAGAAAAGTGGGTTTATGTGGTTGATGTTGAATTGATAAAGTAAGAATGATTATGAGTCACACAAACTTTATCAAATATGGTATGAGACAATCTTAGTGGGATTTCCCGAAAAGTTCAATTAAAAACATCCTTAAACAAACTTGATTTTATATATTACACTGTAATAATAATATCATCATTAATGTGGCCCGTGGCTTTCTTTCAAAAATTAAAAATGTATGAGGCCTAAATTCTAGGTCTAACTTTAACCGTTGAAGACGAAATTGAGTAGTGGATGAGGGATCTAAATTGGGCGGGTAATAAATAACTCTTCCTAGAATAAATTTCGCTTGTTTGCTCAAATACTATGGAGAATGGCAACGACGATATTGTATTGATTGATGAGACGCAATCAGGTCTTAAATCAAAGTTGGAAGTATGATGACAAACATTGAAGAATAAGGGTTTCAAATTAAGTCGGAGCAAGACAGAGTACATGGAGTGCATGTTTGGTGGAGGTAGAAGCAGTGGTAATAGCGGAATTACTCTGGATGGTAAGGAGATACCAGTCAGCGATATGTTTCGTTACTTGGGCTCCATAATTCAGAAGGACAGTGGTTAGATGAAGATGTATCCCATAGAATCAGAACAGGGCGGATGAAGTGGAAGAGTGCGTCAGGATTTCTATGCGATCGAGGTATGCCATCTAAACTGAAGGGTAAATTTTATAGGACAACAATTAGGCCTGCATTACTGTATGGCGTAGAGTATTGGACGGTGAAACAATGTCACATTCAAAAGATGAGTGTGACAGAGATGTGCATGTTGCGTTGGATGTGTGAGCATACTAGGAAGGACCACGTGAGGAATGAGATAATCAGACAAAGGGTGGGAGTAGCACCTATTGAAGACAAGATGCGGGAGTCGCGCCTACGGTGGTTTGGTCATGTGCGTAGAAGACCGAGTGATGCACTTGTCAGACGAGTTGAGATGTGTGGAGAAGAGGCAGGGAAGAGAGGGAGAGGAAGACCCGAACAGACGTGGGTTAGGAGAGTTCGAAGTGATATACTTCTTCTGGGGTTGGATGAGGGCATGACATTCGAAAGAGCTAAGGGGAGGGCGGGTATTCATGGGGAAGAGTGATCTCGTATCATCTTTTCCCCTCATCTTTTTTTCCTTGTTTTTTATCCTTATATATAAGCATTATTTGTATCCTTTTTATTTTATCATTTTTATGTATATTCATCTCTTTTTATATTATCCTTTTATAACAACTTATCTTTTCTTTATTTTCTTTCTTTTCCTTTTGGTGGTGATATCATGTATCGATTCATATTAGCCGACCCCAATATCTTTTGGGACTAAGGCTTGGATGTTATTGTTGTTTGCTCAAATACTAATTTATTTGTATGTATGGGGCAGGTTCTTGTGGACATGCAAGAGAACCCTAAAGTTGCTCAAGAACACATGAAGAACCCACCTGTGATGAACAAGATCCAAAAGTTGGTCAGTGGAGGAATTGTTCAAGTCCGTTAAAGAGTAGAACTCATTTAATATTAAGGGTCAAAAGAAAGCATAGCCACGCAAATTATACCGTGGGATCGGCTCACCATGCGCATGGTGTGCCGATCCCAAAACGGTGTCGTTTTCCATTAAAAAAAATTAGGTTTGTATTTCTGTTTTCAGTTGCAGCCGATTTCTTTCTTCTGCTTCCTTCTTCCGTTATTGTTTCTATATACTGTGCTTACGAACCTGATTTGCCTTCAAAGGTTTCAATGGATTTCTCTCTAGATGATTCAGCTGTTGTGAATTCATCGATTGAATTCGGAGATTCTATTCCTTTTACTATACATGATAACGTGATTCCTTCATCCGTTAACAATAATTTTGAATGTGATCAGCCGGTTCATATCGAGCACATTGGTAAACATTACAGTTTTTGAGTTTTGTGAATTTAATTTATCTTATTTATGCTTGCAGTATGCTGTAATATGTTTTGTTTTCTGTTTTATCTTATTGCTTTAGAATTTGGAGTGTAGTATTCATATTGGTTGAATTTTGTTGTTTTCCTTTCAGGAGAAGATGAAACTGGTTCAATGGTTTCTAAATTGTTACATCTTCTTAGTAGAGGTACTTTTCCTGTCATGTGATTCAATTTTTGTTTTGTTTATTTTTTGTTCGATGTTGTGTCATTTTATTTCAATTGTATGTAACTTTTGTTTAGTTTTATGTAATTTGGTTCTTCGTTTTATGTTTGCAGTATGCTCTAATATCTTGTTTAATAATATGTAAATTACATTCAAATCTATGCAACTTCTTTTCTAATGTATGTAACTTGCGCTAAAGCTTATGTAACTTTCTGTTTTGTTGTATGTAACTTTTGTTCTACTGTATGTAATTGAACTGTACCTTTATGTATGCAACTATTTTATGTGCCTTGAGTTAAGTTTTATTTAGCTTTATGTTTATTAAAATGTAACTTTAGTTTAAGTGTATGTAACTTATGATCAACACTATGTAACTTGTATTCAATTGTATGTATCTTCTTTACAGTGGTTTGTTTTTCATATATCACCTTTATGAATTGTCAGATACATTTGCAACTATTGACAAGGCAACCGAGAATAAATCACTTGTTGGATTGTGTGTTAAATCTGAAAAGGATGCTTATAATCTTTACAACAATCATGCTTTTGAAAATGGATTTGGTATTCGAAGATGCAAACAGAGGTTTAGGAGTGGCAATGTAAGTTTGATTATGAAGTCTTACTGTTGTTGGAAAGAAGAGAAGAAACTACAAAAGGGCACTTAAAACAAAATGTATACGAAATTAGATTATCGTTCAGGTTGTAAAGCAAAGCTGCAGTTTTCTATTAGTGTTGATGGTGAATGGACTGTTTCAAAGCATATTACTGATCACAACCATTCTTTTTTGTCCAATTGGTCAAAGACACCTTCTCAAATCACATCGAGGTGTTGATCATGAGTATCTTGAATTTATTATGTTGATGAAGGAGAGCGGGACAAAGGTTTCTGATATTCACTGTATGCTTCAAAAACAGGCAGGTGGGGTTAGTGCTCTTGGATTCACCAAACGTGATGCTTATAACGTTCTAGAATCTGAAAAGAGTAAAACGTTTGATGGTAGTGATTCTAACACTTTGATTTCTATATTGAAGAAAAGGGCTGAAGTGGAATCTGATTTTTACTTTGATTTTGAAGTAAATGAAGGTGTACTAAGTTGTTTTTTCTGGAGAGATGGCCAAATGAGATCAGATTATGAGAGATTTGGTGATTTAGTCGTGCATGATACAACTTACAGGACTAACAAATATGGCATGATTTGTGGTCCGTTTGTTGGTATGAATCATCACTGTAAGAATATTATGTTTGGTTGTGGCTTTATGTTGAATGAAAAGGTGGAGTTCTTTGTTTGGTTATTCCAGACTTTTTTGATGAGTGGAGGTCAGAGGAAAATGGTCTAGATTTCAGATGTTCAGAAGGCACCGTTGAGATGGTATTGCTGCAAGATAGTATTTTGTCACATGCTAGAGATGTGTACACCCTTGAGATATTCAAACTGTTCCAAGAACAATATTTGAAGGGTATGTCACACTTTTTTAAATTAATGACAGAGAATTCTCATCATTATGTGTATCATGTTTGGTTGAATGGTGTAGATTTGATTAGGCACAACGTTACTTTTAATGGAAATGACAACACAGTGACATGCAGTTGTAAGATGTTTTCAGAAGTTGGCATTTTGTGTAGGCACATATTGCGTATATATAACATCCATTGTGTGAAATGTATTCCCCAAGTTTATATACTCCCCAGATGGACAAAGGCTGCTATTTTGCAACATGTTAGTCCTCCTTTTACTCAAGGAAGAGATCTTATGTGTGGTAAAATAATTGAAGATTCTGTTTGGAGAGTGCAAATGACTAGAAAATTCAATACCATATTGGGTGCAAGTGTTGGTCTACCTGAAGCTAGGCAAGTATGTGAGGAAGGGTATAATACTATCAAACAATTTTTAGATATTCAAAACAATGTTTCTGGTGTAGATGAATTGGGTTCTGATCCAAGGACAATACTTGATCCTCCACGTTCTCGTCCTAAAGGTCAGCGAAATACACGGAAGAGAAGCATCGTTGAAAAACAGTGCAAAATAGTCAAAGGTCGACGTTCTAAATCTCAAAACGTTGCAAGTAATTCAAAAGCAGTTGCACAATCTGTTGTTCATGTATTTTCTTATTTTTATATGTTTTTTCTTCTTTAATTCACCTTTACTGAAGCAATTATTTTTCTTCTTAAATTCTAGGACACAGTCAGTTCTATGGTTCCACAAGGTTATCTTGTTCATCCAGTTGGAGGAATGACTTCTTTGATGAGTGTGTTTGGATCTGCACAAGTTTTAGATCCATACTTCATGCAATGTAATGCAGTTCACCAAATGTGGAATTAGTTTTAGTGAAATAAGTTTTTCAGAGACATGTTATACATTTGTTTTTGTTTTACTGTAAAAGTTGGAGACATTAAATATTTAATTGTTGCTGGTTACATTTCTAGTTAAATGATTTACATTTGTTTTAATGGCATTTACATTACCTTTATTGTTTGTTAACATTGTGTTATCCTTTGGTTACATTTCTGGTTATGTGAGTTACATTTGTTTTTATGGCATTTACATTACCTTTGTTGTTTGTTAACATTGTGTTATCCTTTGTTTACTATTATGCTTAAACTCAAATTTATTAACACATTAAGAGATTAAGAGAATTTAAATATGAAGTTAACATCAGGTTCTTTTCAAATTACATCTGAATTCAGCAGCAATTACATCTCAAATAAACCGCAGTTACATATCAAATTAAGAACAATTACATCTCAGTAAACAAAAGTTACATAACCAGAAGTTAACATCAATTACATCTAAAAAAACAGAAGTTACATCTCAACTTAATAACAATTACATCTTTCATTAACAACATTTGCATGATTTTTTTTTTTGAAAAACACAGTCAACATTATTTCGTAAATGATTTTAATGATTAAATAAAAAAATTAAATTTTATAAATATACTTCAACAATTCCTAAAGACCGTTCTTTGCGATTCAGTTCTATCTGTGAAAATGATTTACATAAGTCATCACGCGAGTTACATAGTTGTTATACATTTTTTGCATAAGATATAACCGAAGTTACATCTTACATAATCACTTGAATAAAGCACTCTAGAGTCTTTATAGTAGTTTTGAGTAACGTACTAAGACACATAATTCACAAACTTCATAACATACATAACATACACAATTTTAATAAGCCAAAGTGACATAGATCATACATGAAAGTTGCATAATGTACTACACTAATAACAAACCAGAAATCTTGAAATGTTTTAATAGAACTTCATAATCTATTGGAAATATATATTCTTCCACCTTCCACCAATAATATCAAATAATGTTTTGAGATACCCATAATATTCTGCCACCTTCCACCTGCCACCTTAAAAACGAATGTACTTTTAAAAAACAGACCACTCAAAACAAATAATGTTTTGAAATACCCATAATATTCTGCCACCTTCCACCTGCCACCTTAAAAACGATTGTACTTTACATATTTATGAAGTCTTTTGCTCTTTTATAAACATTTTCCCTTTCCATGTTGAATTTTGAGCTTATGATTTCTGCTGCATAGACAAGTCTGAGCTTCTTCAGTGTTTGTTTCTGAGCTTTTATTCCAGCAGCTTTAGATGCACTTGGGAATCCTGAATCCCACTTGTCTCCCTGTTCACGATATGTTTCCAAGTGACGCATTACAAAAATGCCACAGTCAACATAATTCCCATTGTACCTCCATGACATATTCAAAATTCTAGGGTTCCATGTGGCCATTCTTCCAGCTGGATGTTTAATCTTGTTGCAGTACTTTTTAAAACCTTCCACCTATTTTCAGGATATGCATTCACCCTAATACATTTACAAAATAATAAATTTAACAATGCTTGATATTTCTGTAATACATGAACATAAGTTTACCAGTTGGTTAAAGCTCTCCTCATACTTGTCTTTAAACTCCAACCCGTCTTCAAGAATTCTATTGTCTATGACATCAACTACATTCTTGTTTGTATAGAAGCAATAAATATAGTAGTGCTGACTTCTATGTACAGGAAACAAGACCTGCAATTCATAAAAAGCATTCATTAGTTAATTATTTCATAGTGAATCATTTCATTTATCTTTTTCATTAATAATAACATTTTACCATATCATAATCTTTGAGATTTTCTTGTTTATCAACTTCAAATTCCAACCTCTCTACCATCATGTCTTCTATTTATTCAATGAATAAGAAAAATGTTACGTACATAGACCAATGTAGAAAGTATCAGTGCTCGTTTGGGAGGATTGTTTTTGTGTTCTCTGTCATTCAGTAATTTTACCCATGCATCTATTACTGAATTGTCAACTTCTTTTTCATCTTCAAGTGTTTGGAACTCCTCATGGTTCAAAAACAGGCTTGAGTCATCATTATACAGCAATTCACTAAGACAATAACATTGGTTAGTAAACAATTGATTCAATAGCAGGTTCTTTTCAAATTACATCTGAATTCAACAACAATTACATCTCAAATAAATCGCAGTTACATATCAAATTAACAGCATTTACATTTCAATAAACAAAAGTTACATATCAGGTTAACATCAATTACATCTCAAATAACAGAAGTTACATCTCAACTTAATAACAATTACATCTTTCATTAACAGCATTTGCATGTTTTTTTTTGAAAAACACAGTGAACATTATTTCGTAAATGATTTCTATGATTAAATAAAAAAGTTAAATTTTCTAAATACAATTCAACAATTTCTAAAGCCTGTTCTATCTTTGAAAACAATTTACATAAGTCATCACACGAGTTACATAGTTGTTCTACACTTTTTGCATAAAGTATAAACGAAGTTACATCTTGCATAATCACTTGAATAATGATATATATAATAAAGAACATCTTACTTTCCAACTTCCTTTGAAAATGCATAGTCAATCACCAATTTTTCTTCCTTCCTCATCTCCTTGCACAGCCTGTGGTTGTGTTTGAGATATGGTGACCTGAATTTCCATTCTGTATCAGCTGCCTTAGATGCATTTTTCAGCTTCTGCCTTTTTGCCACAGGTGCTGTCATCTTCAATTCTTCTTCTACATTTTCTTGCTCTTCAGTTACAACATCCTCTTGATTTCTATATTCTGCTTCCCTCACTCCTCCTTCAACTATCTCAACCATTTCTTCTTTGTTGTTTTCTTCTTCTATATTTCTAGCAATCTTCATTATTGGGTCTTCAGTCATTTGAGCAACTGGATTCTCATTTGTTGAATTTTTTTCATTTTGAGAAGGTTGTGTCATGCTGAACTCAATGTCCAGATCAAATGAAGGCATTGAGAACTTCAGATAAGCAACTTTTTCTAATCTATCTAGGGCTTCCATTACCCCTGGTATGTTGAAAAAATCATCGTCCTCATCAAGAGTGCACTTTTCTGCCAACCTCTCTTTTTCTGATTCCTTGGCACTGCCATTAGCTTGTCTGAAGAAGTAATCAGCTGTTGTCAAGTATATCTTTTTCAAGATATCGGAATTGGGAAATCTTTTAGAAATTGTTGCTGGAAGTTTTGAGAATTCCACAAAAGCATCGCTGAACTTCTGTGCAACAACAATTATTTCTTTGACACAGTCCTACAAAAATTAAATTTCATTTGTAAGTTTCATATACCATTAGATATGAAATATAAACAATGTAACTTATGATCAATTGTATGTAACTTTAGTTCAAGTATATGTAAGTAATGATCAACAGTATGTAACTTCCATAGTGTGTAACTCCAGTGACATAAGTGAAGCAACTAACCTAGATATAGTGTTTATTTAAAATTTACCTCTTTAGAAATCATCTCTTCATCTTCATTTTGTTCTGTATTGGCTTCTTCATTTTCTTCTCTTTCTTCTTTCTCTTCATCAGCTATCATAATTCGTGGGATCACCTTCCCGAGCCCGAATCCCAACTTCCTCTCATCTTTTATTCTCTTTTCAATTCTTTCTTTGCTCCAGATTCTGATTGTTGGATAAAGAGTATCCAAAATCTGACCTTTAAATTGCACTCTATCGAAGTAGCAAATCATCAGAAACAGCAACGGTCCAGTGAACATCTTTGTTGGCTGAGCTTGCCATTCTTCTCCAGCATCCATTAATGACCGTCTTGCATATTTGCACCAGTTCAAGTTCTTGATTTCATTAACTTTTATCAGAGAGAGCAAGATCTTGAAGTTGCTCTTTATACTCTGATTGCCTCTGATGAGGCATGAAACTGTGAACACCACAAAATTTCTCTTAAAAACATCTCCACAATCATTATCATCAATGATTTTTTGGATCATTTCTGTTGTCTCTGGGCTGCCCTTTTGAATTCCCCAGTACTCTCCACTGCTTCAACAATTCAATGTACTCTTCACTTTCATTTTTGGCATTTGCTTCCTCGACATCAATCTTTCCCATCGGCAAACCAAAAACAGCTCTAACATCTTGTTCTTCAATATCCAACAACTCACCATTTGTGAGTTGTAGCTGAGCTGATATTGGTCGCAAACTTTGCAATAGAAATTGTACAAAGTCTCCATAAAATCTGTCAAAACTTAGGTTCAGCAGACCTCCAAAGCCAATCTCTTCAATTGCTGCTCTTTTATTTTCATCCAGCAATTTAATCAACTTGATAAATGGAGCTGGTCCTACTCTGGTTCTTAAGTTGACAACAGTGTTTCCATCTATTTGTTCATCATTCTTTTTGGATTCTTCATGTGATATTACAACTGTTTTTCTTTTTCTGGTTGTAGTTGGTTTGTCATAAGTCAACAGTTGCAATGGTTCTTGACTCTGTATTGGTACACAATCTTCCATTTTTAAATTCTCATTCTCTTCTGTTGCATTGCTTCTTGTATTCCTAATATTATACAGAATAACATTCACAAGTCATAATCAATTTAAACTAACATTATTAATTTATATAACTCATAGCAGCATTTACATAATATTATACATTAGTTGACAATAACTAAGACAATAACACTGGTTAGTAAACAATTGATTGAATAGCAGGTTCTTTTCAAATTACTTCTGAATTCAACAGCAATTACATCTCAAATAAACCGCAGTTACATATCAAATTAACAGCATTTACATTTCAATAAACAAAAGTTACATATCAGGTTAACATCAATTACATCTCAAATAACAGAAGTTACATCTCAACTTAATAACACGGAATATTATACAGAATAACATTCACAAGTCATAATTATACAGCTGTTTCCATTTTAAAATTCTCATTCTCTTCTATTGCATTCCTTCTTGTATTCCTAATATTATACAGAATAACATTCATATTATACACCTGTTTCCATTTTAAAATTCTCATTCTGTTCTGTTTCATTGCTTCTTGTATTCCTAATATTATACAGAATAACATTCACAAGTCATAATCAATTTAAGCTAACGTTATTAATTTATATAACTCATAGCAGCATTTACATAATATTATACATTAGTTACATAATTTATAACTCAAAGTTACATGTTATGCCCTTGGATGTGATTCGGTTCTATATTTCAAAAGTTACACAAGTCCTCACAACAGTTGCATATTAATATTCTTATGTTACATCTATTTTATTTGTAGTTACATGTTACACGCCAGCTGTTAAATAATTAATTCTGGGCAGTATAGTAGCAGTCATTGGATAAATACAATTGTAAAATTCAATTTTATAATGACCAATTTTGATAAGTTACATAATATTATACACTTGTTTCATAAGTTATATCCCAAAGTTACATGTAACTAAGAATTGACATAAGTTACATATTAATATACTTATGTTACATAAATTCTATCTGTATTTACATAAGTTACACAAGTTGTTCAATAATCAAATATGGCTCCAATACTTGCAGATAAATAGCAAGTGACATTTTATCATACAGAAGTTACATAATAACTCAATGAAGTTACACCATACACAAGCACTTCGAAGAATGTTCTCTGGACAACATTTTCTATCAAATAATACCTTATAGATTGTATATACTTGTTAACTTAAGTAAACATCCGGGATTTTGACCTTTTAAATACAGTCAAATGCGGATTATGAACCAAAAATTACTTTGCTTGTATTTACATGTAAACAACACATTTCAGGGCATAATACACATGTTTTCATAACAAAAAAACAATCGCATTGAGTAATATTTGAGTCTATGTTATAGCTTATACCTGACAGCCGATTTTTCCTTAACCCTAACCATTTTGGTTGTACTTGGTGCTGAACTTGATCCTCAAGTTGCTCCGGTGAAAGCCTTTACTTAATCTCTTGTCTTCTTTGCAGAGATTTGTTAAAAAAAACACTTCGTCGAACTTGCTTGATTCAGAAGAAATGTAGAGCGAGACTTTTTCAGAAAGTAGACTTTTGGATTTCGAACTTCAAAAAGGCGTAAATGTAAAACATCGGGAGTTGAGAGCATAACCGCTGGAGGGAAAAGGTGGGAGAAAGGATCCGTTGGTTTGTGTGCGCGTTTTTTTAATTTAATGCTACGTCGTTTTGCCGCGGGAGTAGGATGCTCAATATGGGCCGCTCCCACGGTATACGAATTGGCATAGCCATTGTATTTTTGAAGGGGATATGTGAGGGCTCCATTTTCCTTTTGTATTGAATGGATTTCAAGAATAATAAATTAATAATTAGTGCGCTTAGTCTAGAGGTGGACTGGGGCCGGGCCTAGGCCCGGTCGGGCCGCCGGTTTGTATCTCATGGACCCGGGACCGGCCCGAGGGTTGGACGGGTCTGGTTCGGGCCGGGCCACCCGCCCGGGTCACGGGTCGGGCCACCCGCCGGGCTGGGCTGGGCTGGGCCGGTTAAAGTAATTTTTTTTATAACTTATACTTTATAGTTTTATACAAGTATTAAAAACAAACTTCAAGTTGTTGAAATATATTGAATTAAGTCATCTTCCAAGTTCCAACTATTCCTGATTAGGAATTATTATCAGCATTGTATAAATAATTAGGAAATCATAATTATGATTCTAGATGATAATTGTGTGGTTCACAATTATCCTGTAATCCTAATAAGCTTAGCTTTTCTCCTATAAATAGGAGTCTTCTCCATTGTAATTAACACACTTTGATTACACTATTATCACACTCTCTAATACTCTCAATAACATAAGTCTTCATACTATATTTTCTCTCCCTGATCTTCTGCTTATTTCCTTCCATTTCATAACACGTTATCAGCACGAATTTGCTCTGAATCCCCGAAATCATCATCTTCACAACAGGTATATATTTCGATGAATTTATCAAATCATCTCGAGAAAAAAATCAGAGGTTGAGAAGTATGAACATGTTTGGACATATGAAAAACTATAAGAAGTATGCTCTATGGTTGCCCAACCATTGGGATCCTCCATATCAGAAAATTATAGCTATTTTTCTATAAAAGAAGAATAGAAGAAAATTGAATTTTTCGAAGATAACAGAAAGAGAGATAACGAGTAAACTGAAGAAAGGAGTAGTAGTTAATTTACATCTTAGCTTCATATTTCATATCATATGCTCTCTATACATACCTAAAGAAAGTCACGGGTCTGCATGTTTCTTTTATTTGGCAGACAACCAAAGTGCCATCTTGTTTCTCTTCTTAGTAGACAACCAAACTTACGATTTTTTTTAAATGAAATATGACAAAAATGAGAAGAGATTGAAGCCCCTTTGCTTAAAAGTGAGACCGTGAGAAGATTCATGATTCGAGAAGGAAAAAGATGATATATACAAAAATAAATAAAACTTACCTTGTAAAATATGGATTTCGAACTGTGAAGTGTCTATTTTTCTCCAACTCCTTGCTCTTTACTATCTCATGTCTCGGAAATTCTAAACTACAAAGAAGAAGAAAAGAGCACTTGACGATTTTACAAAAGATAATACGGAGTATGAACTATTGATAAGAATCATAGATATGCATCTACTTTTATACACGTACGCATATGCTTATTACTCCATATGTGTGGAGGCAGCTCATGTATGAGCTTAAGCAATACGGAGTAGGGTTGACATCTACTTTGATAAATCATTGATGTATGTAATAAAGAGATAAGTCAATCACATGGGTGTACTAACACTACCACATGTTTTTGTCATTATATTATGATTTGGGTTGACATAACAAATTAAAATAAAATAAAAATATAGCAATGACTGAGCTTCATGTGAATTGCACGCATTTGATAATTATAGGTGATATAAACAAACTAGACAAATAAAAATTCTTGTCTAAATGGCCAGATACCCATACAATACGAAGCACTTGCAATTTTCTGAAGTCATGGGATTGATTGTTTTTTTTACTACGCATTTGACATATTGAGTCACGGGTCTCTCAACGTACTATTAGTTTGCATTTACTACTATAGTATGTTTTACTGATTATCAATATGGATCCATCCAAATTCAAAATAATAATATTAATAATAAAAATGACACATCATATGATCACCTATTTGAAAGATTATTTTATATTTTAATACATATATTCGTAATATTATTAATGAAATAAATTGATATATATATATATATATATTACTACCCATATGAACAATAAAAGTGATGCATATATATAATTATTGTTATCGTACGTAGTTATTAATATAGTGTTTATTACATAAACATATTATGTATATCTAATCATATTATCTATACAAACCATTAACTAATTAATTTTGATTTAATTATGGTGTAGTTCATCCATGGCTAATATTAGCAAAAGAGAGTTCGACGTCCTTGATTTATCTGGTCAAAAGTACTTGGAATGGAAAGTTGACGCTTTGGCACATTTAAAAGCAAATGCCCTCGAAAACACAATTGCTGAAAATAATTCAGCTACTCCCCAAAATAAGGCAAACGTCATTATCTTTCTTCGTCACCATCTTCACGAAAGTTTGAAGTCTGAGTATTTATTGGTAGATGACCCTAAAGAATTATGGGACAATCTCCAAGAAAGGTATGACCATCAACAAAAGGTCCTTTTACCAAAAGCTCAATATGACTAGATCAATTTACGATTTCAGGATTACAAATCTATAAGTGACTACAATTCTGCCTTGTTCCAAATAACATCAAAACTGAAGTTATGCGGACAAAAAGTCACTGATGCTGAAATGTTGGAAAAAACTCTATCCACTATGCATCTTTCAAATATGCTTTTACAAGAGCAATATAGACAAAAGCACTTTCAAAAGTATTCTGATTTAATATCAGTATTACTACTTGCTGAGACGAATAATGACATTTTGATGAGAAACCACAATATGAGACCCACAGGTTGTAGCCCTTTTAGTTTTGGTCCACAAAATCATGGTTCAAAACATGAATCAAATGCAACCCATAGTGGTGCTCGTGGACATTTCAAACGTGGTCGTGGTATTGGTCGTTATAATGGACCTAGCCGGGGAAAACAAACAGAGTAGTAGCTCTTACAAAGGCAAGGGAAAGCAAAACCCCCATCAAACAAGAGGCCCGACGAAATCTTCAGAAAAGGCTAAAGTCACTTGTTTTAAATGTGGCACGTCGGGACATTGGGCAAATAAGTGTCGCACACCTACACATTTGGTTGACTTATATAAATCATCTCTAAAAGGAAAGAATGCGGAAACTAATTACGTCAACGAAAACGTTCCACTAATGCCCACATTTAATATGTCTGATTTCTATATGGATAATAATGAGATGAACACTGACATCGTCATGGGTGAAAAATAATAATAATAAAAAATGAAATTATCCTATTATGTAATATATTCCACAATAAAAGTTTGTTGTATTGTAATTTTTATTTGGTGTGCTTGTTTCGATTGTAAAAGTTATGTACATTTTAATGAATAAATTCTTGTTTATATTGCAATATTGAACTAATATTTGTTCATTTTTATCTTTTTAAAGACATGGAGTTAACTGAAATTTCTCCAAATGGCTTTGAACAATGTTTAATAGACAGTGCCACAACGCACACCATTTTGAGACATAGAGATTATTTTTCTCATATGACATTAGTTGATGCTGATGTCAATACAATCTCAGGTGTTGCTAAACTCATTGAAGGTTCTGGAATAGCCTGTGTAATTCTCCCAAAAGGGACAAATTAATAATTAAAGATGCTTTATACTCCAGTAAATCACGGAGAAATCTTTTGAGTTTCAAAGATATGCGTCTAAATGGTTTTCACATTGAAACCATGTCTGAAAATCAAAAGGAATATTTATGTCTAACGACAAATAGATCTGCCAATAAATACATTTCAGAAAAATGCCAACATATTCCTCCGGACTATATTATACATATATCAGTCCAATTGAGATAAATGTGGTATCTAAAATTAATGACCACAATTCCTTTATCTTGTGGCATGACCGTTTAGGTCATCCAGGCAGCACTATGATGCACAAAATTATTCAAAATTCACTTGGACATTCATTAAATAATGTCAAAATTCCACAATCAAGTGATTTCTCATGCATTGCCTGTTCTCTTGGCAAAATAATTATCAGGCCATCTTTATACAAAATTGGAGTTGAATCTCCTGCATTTTTAGAAAGAATTCAAGGAGATATTTGTGGGCCAATTGCCCCTCCGTGTGGACCATTTCGATACTTTATGGTGCTCATTGATGCATCAACACGTTGGTCACATGTCAGCCTTTTATCGACTAGAAATTTTGCATTTGCAAATCTCCTTGCTCAAATTATTCGTTTGAGATCACAATTTCCGGATTATTCAATAAAGAAAATCCGACTTGATACTGCAGGGGAATTTACATCCCAATCTTTTAATGACTATTGCATGTCAATTGGGATTGATGTGGAACATCCAGTTCCACATGTGCATACACAAATGGTCTTGCTGAATCCTTAATTAAGCGATTACAATTAATTGCTAGACCACTATTGATGAAATCCAGATTACCATCATCTGCATGGGGATATGCTATAATGCATGCTGCAAATTTAATTCGGCTCAGGCCTACTGCATATCATAAATTTTCCCCATTGCAATTAATATCTGGTAAAGAACCAAATATATCACACATCAAAATATTTGGTTGTTCTGTGTATGTACCAATTGCTCCACCTTATCGTACTAAAATGGGTCCTCAAAGAAGGCTGTGAATTTATGTTGGTTTTAAATCTCCTTCAATTATTAAGTATCTAGAATCTATGACTGGTGACTTATTCACCGCACGGTTCGATGACTGTCAGTTTGATGAAACAGTATTCCCAGCCTTAGGGGGAGATAATAAAGAAATGGACCCACGTACGAAAGATATTACTTGGAATGCAACATATTTATCTTTTCTTGATTCTCGCACAAATGCTTGTGAACAAGAAATTCAAAAGATCATTCATTTACAAAGTGTTGCAAACCAATTGCCTGATGCTTTCACAGACTCAAAGAAAGTGACAAAGTCACATATTCCAGCTATGAATACTCCTTCTCGAATAGAAATTCCTGCGGAGATTAGCGAAAGAACTCTTGCTAATGAATCTATGATACGTAAAAAACGTGGTAGACCGCTTGGTTCAAAAGATTTGAAACCAAGAAAATTTAAAAAGCAAGACGTAGTTTGTGATGCCAAAGAAGTTCAAACTTCTCAAGAAGAAAATGAACATTTTGAAAATATCGGCTTTGAAGATAATAATGATACCTCAAAAGAAGATCCAATCACCTTTGAAGAGGTAAATATTCCAGATAAAGATAGAAACGTCGATAATTTCGAAATTTCAATCAATTATGTTTCTAATGGAATACAATGGAATAGAAAAGATATTGATGTTAATGATATATTTTCATATGCCATCGTCACAGATATAATGAATGAACACGATGACAATGAGCCTAAATCTATTGACGAATATCGTCGTAGAAACGATTGGCCAAAATGGAATGAAGCGATTCAGGTAGAACTAAAATCGCTAGAAAAGCGTAATATTTTTGGACCAATTGTCCACACGCCAAAAGGCGTAAAACCTGTAGGTTTTAAATGGGTGTTTGTGCGTAAACGCAATGAGAAAAATGAAATCGTTAGATATAAAGCCCGACTTGTTGCCCAAGGTTTTTCTCAAATGCCAGGAATCGACTATGATGAGACGTATTCTCCAGTAGTTGATGCTACTACTTTACGATTTTTAATTGGCATGTCAGTTTTTGAAAGTCTGCAAATGAGACTAATGGATGTAGTGACCGCATATTTATATGGTTCACTCGATACAGACATATATATGAGAATTCCTGGAGGCTTTAAAATACCTGATGCTTATAGCTCGAAATCTCGAGATTTATTTTCCATAAAATTGTAAAAGTCATTATATGGATTAAAACAATCTGGACGCATGTGGTATAACCGTCTAAGTGAATATTTGATCAAAGAAGGATACAAAAATGATCATATTAGTCCATGTGTTTTCATTCAGCGATCTGAATAAGGATTCGCCATAATTGCAGTATATGTTGATGATTTGAATATAATCAGAACTCCGAATGAAATTGAAAATACTGCTAAATATCTCATGAAAGAATTTGAAATGAAAGACCTTGGGAGAACAAAAAAATTTCTCGGCATTCAAATTGAACATTTGAGAAATGATATTTTTATCCACCAATCAAATTATACCGAGAAACTTTTGAAGCGATTTTACATGGAAAAAGCTCATCCACTTAATTCCCCGATGGTGGTTCGATCTCTCAATGTGCATGATGATCCTTTTCGACCTTGTGAAGATGATGAAGAAATCATTGGTCCCGAAATACCATATTTGAGTGCTATTGGAGCGTTAATGTATTTGGCTAATAATACACGACCAGATATTGCTTTTTCTGTAAATTTATTAGCCAGGTACAGTTCTTCTCCGACAAGAAGACATTGGAATGGCGTCAAACATATATTCCGCTATCTCAAT